AAACATTTTTAAAAAATAAATTTTTTTTTTTTCCAAAAAAAAAAAAAAAAAAAATACAAAATGTTCTTTTATAATGCATGTTGAAAGAAACAATATGTCATTTAGAAGTCTTAACATTTCCTCACTGCCAATACATATATTAAATAATACCCCATGTTATAATAAGCATATATTGTGTTACTCTTCATGGATAGCAAAGTCGGGCAAAATACCTATACTTCGTTCAAAGTATACTGTGTTTGTCTGATTATGTTCGGCTTAAGTAGTGATTTTTTATTGTTCTCTCTACTCTTTCATGTCGAGCTCGCATAATCTTCTTCAATATTTGTTTTTAGGTTTTGGAAGATACAAGATCCATTGACTTGTGGGATTTTTTTTTTTTAATTATAATTCTTCATTTTTTATTCAATGGTATCAGAAAACTTCTCATTTGCTTTTCATTGATCTTTTCATTTTGATTTTCATTACTATATTAAATTCTAGTCCAATTTAAAACAAGTTGTTTGCTTAAACTCTTGCTTTAATACTTATTCATTCATCCCCATCCAATCCATAAATATTCTGGGGGATTTTGGCGGATCCATTTCTGGAATCGTAAGATAAAAAATATTTTTGGGAAAATCATTTGATCATTATTAGTAAGAATATGGGTGTTTTGATTACTGTTGGCATCAATTATGATCCTGACTTTAATATTGACTTTTTGTCTAAGGCCAAAATTGATAATTTTTCAATCCAGATATTTTTGATTTGGAGCATTTTCCATATATTGAATATTCACCTTTCCTTGATAGTTATTGATAGGGATACTCCTCAAAACATTAAACAAGTATCTTTACATAAGTTGTAATTATAAGAAATCTCTTGGTTCTTATTTCCTCAAAGTGGTAATTGGAAATAATTGAATCCTATTTTTATACTTAGCCCCTGTTTGGTAGGGATTTTTAGTAGATTTTGATAAAAGTCGATGAGATATTTGATTGAAAAGTTGTGGGTCCATAAAATGTGTGATTAAAATTAATTGCTGACTTTAACTTAAATTAAAATTTTGGATTTTAATTTTCATCAAACAGGGGCTTATAGTATTTTTGATTCGATAATGAAAAGACTTCAAAAATATTTTGTTATTGGTAAATAATTAATTGGCCTTTTTAATCGGAACAGTAATTTTTTTGAGAAGCAATTAAAGTAATTTCAGAAAAGAAAGCCAAATGCAATTAAAGCAAGGAAATTTAGTGCTAATTGACCAAAAAAAGTAGACCCATGAATTTGATAATTGCTAGACAAATTAATTTTTGCCAAGTCCATTAAGTACATGTATATGTTGTGCACCCTTGGGTTACCTTCCTTGACATCTCCGATGTTTATGGACTGTTCACCGATGAAACCCTTCTCGGCAAGCTCCTTACACTTCCTGTACTTATTACCCACTCCACACATTTGTTCACACAAGTCTACATACTTGGTCATCAATCTTGTTAAGAGATCTTGTTAAGAGGAGTAGCTTACAACTATCATTTTCATGTGAATGCAAGATTTTTTTCTCCTATTAGAATCTAAGTACTCATTTGAACTTTAAATGATAAAAATTGCTGGTTTGAGGTCAATATTTACATTCTTACACCTTGATAGATACTTTTATTTTATTCATTTGAGTTTTTACTTTTACACTACAAGAATGATATCTACACTTAATTTCCAGCTATATTGATCACTGCGCAATCTTTGAGCCAGTTGCGTGCATGTTGTTTGACAAAATGTAGAAACTAGGATTATATGACATCGCGTGATGTAGCTTTGATGGCAGCTTAGCTGTTTTAATTCTATATTTTATTTTCTTTATATTATATATTGATTAAAAAAACTGCCTGATTTTAATTTTTTCAAGTATTTTCTGCAGGACACTTCTTACAAATGCCTCTGTCATAATGAATTTTTAATCATCAAATTGCACAGGCTTTGAAGGATGGGATGAGGAAGATAGTAGACTTGACTACAAAGTTGAGCTTAAATAAGAGGATGGGCAGATGGTCATACATGGAGACCATGCTTATGCCAGCCTGTGAGGCCTGCTTGTAGCCGCTAGATATCGATTGCATTGGTTTTTATTACCAGTACCACATTGAGACACGTGTTCCTATCGAAGTCAAAGTTAGACAATTCTCCTTTGTGTTTATAAATCTCGCGATTCTATCTTTCGAATACTGAAACCATTGCCATTATGGATATCAAACCAATAGAAATTCATACCAATTAGATCTTCTAAATGAGAATTCAGCCAAAGAAAGTTTGGATTACACGACAAGTTAATCTGTGATTAAAACCAAGGGAGTACGAAGAAGAGAAGAAAAGATTTTATATGCCTTTTTTTGTCCTTTCTTTTGTTTCTAATCACTTTTATTTTGAAATTTTAACCATACTCGTTTTCAAAGAGCTACAGAGATTTTTGCCTTAATAGTTATCCGTAAACGTGTGCTTTGATGTAGTGTTCTTGAAAAAGAATTACAATTCTGTAGCAAAATCCCCATGAATTATATATTATTATCACTCATATGATAAAATCCATATGCTTGTAATTGGATATGAATCACTTGAAAAACTGGTCTGAAAAAACATTTGCCGAAACTAAGTATTGTTTATATAAGCTATGGGATGGCTAGTCCTGCCCTGTAGTAGCTTTTATTTCTGTACTCAATTTTAACTTTCTATATTGAGATTCTGTTCATGTACTGAAATGATATCAAAAAACTTGATGCGCAGCAAGTAAATGTTCTAAACTGAAAATAGAATTTCTGGCTCAAAATAAGCTCAAAGATTAATATTTTTTACAGGAAACTATCCAAGCACTGCAGAGCATCGTCGAGTACAATGCAAGCAAGAAACAAGGGTTTATGCTGACTGAAATTAGTTTTGGTCGGTGGAAATATCAAAATGAAGTATGGAAATCTTGCTGGAGAGTTCCCTCATCAGGTAATCTTTAAACATGATTTACATTTAGCGGAAACAATGAGTTGTAGCTGCTGCTTCAATCTTCATTATTTTGTCTCTGTTGCAGAAGAAAAGCCTGCTGGCAGATATGTCTTTATCTCATTGAGTAATGGCGCAGTGTATCATGCTCCACAAGTATGCTACTTTTCCTTCATTTTCTTTGAGGTATTTACTGAGAGAAAAGGGAATCTTGAAGTATGAATGTATGATGAGAGGTATAAAGTGGGTTTGCCCCACCTTCCTAACCAGCATGGTCCGTCAGCCAGGAAAATCCTCTGCCTTCTGCACAATGCATCCCTAGACCATTATTCGCATTGGCTTTCTTTTAAAAAACTGTTGAGGAGTACATGGGGCCTTGATGCCAGGATACAAGTTTACAGTTAGATTCTTGACCATTATACCAAGTCCCTGATTATCATGACTGTAATAAGGGGGCTCAATGCCAGTACCTCTGGAGATCCTTCTTTTTGAATTCCCAGTATTCAGTTGTCTTCCTTAGTTCCACCCTTCAATTCATGAAGCAGATCGCCGGTCATCTACGAGAAACAGTCATGTATATACCACCAATTTGATTTGTGCTTTTGCTTATTTGAATAAAAATTTCATGATGATCCAAGGGATTGACAGCTTCAATTTCAAAGATTTTTAAGCGGCAAATATTTCAGCTCTACTAAAGGCACATTCAGACTCACTTCATAGCCAGAATCCTAGATAGTTGAGCTGGTTTGCCTTTAATCCTGACACTTTCTTATTTGCTCTCAGATTGTAAATGCTGTGGGATGGCTAGCTATGTTGAAGCAACACTTGTGCTTCCTGACATCAGAGGAACCAAAATCGGGGAAAAATGGTGGATCCTTGCACATTTCAACAAGAATCTACAGTTACATTTTCCTTAAGTTCGTTCCAAAGGAATTGTCAAACCCATCTATTCTTTAATTAGACCAATATCTCATATATAATGCAACAAAATCTTTAACATCAAAAGAATAGTCTCGTGAAAATCGAAAGGAATAACAAAAGAATTAATAAAAGCAATGTTCCCTGGCAACGAGGTTGACTTCATAACATGGTTATTATTCTCTGAACTCTGTATCATACGAGATGCTTACTATTTAATTGAAGTGCATGTTTCACAAGCCTAGGAAAGAAAGTTATAAAGGAAACTTTAACAAAATTTCTATCATATGTGAATCACTTTCAGGGACTTTGGAGAAATTTATGACGCCAAGGAGTTTGTAGCAAGCCTAAATGGAGTAGTCCAAGTAGCCAGGGTTCAACCCACTGAAATATCAAGCATGAAATTCACTGCTGTGAAAGCCCTTGACAAGGTCCAAGAGGATTTCATTACTTCAAAAGTAGAACCTATATTTAGGACTAAAAGAAACTTGAGGCTTGCAACATACTTCGATTCCTTATCCTTGGGAAAGTTAAAAGAAACCATGCACTCAAATGCATATCAATGCCTGGCTACATTTCGAAGTTTCAAGTTGCAAGCAGTGTTACAGGGATTGGTCGATTCGAGGGTTGGGACACTACAAAGTACGGGCCAGAGAACAGTTGGGCACTTAGTAGCAGTGGACTTGTGGTTTGATATGCTGGGAAAGAAGAGGTGACACGAAAATGTTGATTCGAGTAAATGTTGTTGTAATGCTAAAGAAATTGGTGAATTTTTCTCAAGAAGATTGGTTTTCACAAAGAAACAATGATATACTTGACTCAGATGGATGGCATGGTAGGCTCCATGAATTGAGGAATATTTTCCCCAACACATTTACAGAGTTAATGCGTGCACTTATTTGTGTTTCAAATCTCAGTCGAAGGAATTATAGCTTCTAATTTCATTTGTAAACTCACGAAGGAATTATAGCTTCTAATTTCATTTGTAAACTCACAGAGGAATTGCAGCTTTTAATTTCATTTGTAAACTCATGTGCATATCATGCTCTTCTTGCCATTCTAACTAGAATGTTGTTTCAAATGATCCCACGTGGATTTTTTGACACAAGCTGCTCATTCTCTAAGTCACTCTAGAAATGGTAAACTTTTTAATATATGATAGAAGTTAAATGACCGTGCTTACGGATAAATTTTGAAAACATGCAGTATCCATCTAATTTAATTCGATTAACTCGTTTACTGATAACCCAGTTGTTCTTTAGTTGTTACTTTATTTTGTGTTCTCGGTTGTCAACCTCTCCACATAGTTGTAATAGATTTTTCCTGCTGATTCTATGCCAGTTGTTCATTAACTTCAATATTTGCTCGTAAAGTAGTGATGTCTCTATACCAGCATATCACTGTCGATTCTATACAAGTGTTACAGGGAACAGAACAGCTTCTGGCAAAATGCAAATATTTGTTCCACCTGAAAAATCTTCAAAGATGGCAAGTGACTATATTTCCCCACACATAACTAGGAGAGCAATATTGCACATTCTTGTTTTTGTTAAAGAGCTTAATAGGTATTGTGCAGTGACATTCGTATGCCTGCCCAAGATTGGTCGCAGAACACGACCCAATTTCTACATCTTAATAACAATTTACATGTATGTCCGTCATCCTTTTCCCATCCAAATTTGAGCATGAAAGGCCCACCAAAAAGCTAGTCGGTATTTATCGAATGCATGAAATCTTGTCAAAACTTCTAATTATATCAACAGGTGAACTCTCTGGTTATTGTTCAACTGCATGATCATCAAGGGAAATAATTCAGGACTTTGCTCATTTGCATTTATTAAGGTCCAATAGCTGAGGAACACACATGTATAAGACTTGTAATAATTTAACCAATTTTCACTTCAACGGCTTAGTGAGTAGTGTACTTCAGTGTTTAAATGTCATTTAACTTTAATTTTTTTCCTTACTGTTACCGACCTAATAAAAGTGATTTTTATCCATCATCGAATTGAATTCCATTGAAGAGGTTGTTGATGGTTAACGCCGACAACTGGATAAATCATGTTTTGAAAATCACAATATTTCTCTATGACTATTGAACTTTTAAAATTGTTGTTTGAGATCTACTTTAACAATTGCATAAAGATGCATAGAAATGGTATGGAATGGCCACCAAGATATTGTAGCAAGTCTTGCTTTTGAAAATGTGACATTCTTCTCAACAATAATCTTGTGAAGTAGATGGTATCTCCTCTTGTATGAATAATAAAAGTTATTACTAAATTCGGTGCATTTCCCATGTGATACTTCTTTAAGTCGACCTTCTAAACCACGCTACACTCCATGTCTACCTAACCGATTCTCTCCACTTTTTTTTTATCGATAAATATAAGTTATTATAGATAAAAAAACTCATGTACAAATACATTGGACATACCGGGCAATCAAGAATCAAGTGAAATACTATTACTTCGAAGCGATAGGCACCATAGTCCCAAAGCCAAAGATTCAAAATAAATCAAAACATACGGGTACAAAGAAAACATAATCTTGTATATGTGTGTTTTAATTCGTCTAACTATGTTATACCCATGCAAAGTTCCTGAAAAACCTTCATATTTCGTGCCATCTAAATATGGTAAATGATCTTAGCAAGCTCAATTCTTTTGGCTTTACTTTGCTAAGATGGCCCTCGGGCTTTTTCTTGATCCATTTCAAAGTACTCGAAATTGTAGTTGTCAATCTTCTAATCCCCATCCAAGATTTGATTTTCATCCATATGCTACAGGTGAATAAGCATTGGAAAAATAATCTCTTTCCCATTTTCAAGTGTGTCCCATAAAAAACACAATTCTTGCTAATGTTGATATATGACAATCGATCCTTAGTGAGTAGCTTCGATTGGGCACCCAACCATAAGATAAAAGCATGTTTTTGAGTAATAAAAGATCTCCAAACTTCTCTCATCCAGAACTTCTTGTCTCCATTCGGCCGAAAGTGCTCATATAGGTAGCCCAGACACAAAACCAGATGGCACTATTCTAGCTGGACAGCACGTTTTTAGCTCGTTACGTAGTCCCGAAATTCCCAGAAACATATCTCTAATCTCTAGCATTCTTTGAGCAAGAGTCACTTTTTCTTGCGCTGCACTCCAAAAAATCCTCCCTTGAAGGTATACTTGTTTAACCCATTTAATCCCCAAAGTGTCACTCTTAGCATGAATATTCTAAAGGACTTTGGCAATAAGAGTTGAATTCCAGCTTTTGATATCTTTAAAACCAAGGCCGTCCTCCTTCGGTAGGCAAATGGTACTCCAACTAACCAATGGTTTTTTAGTACCCCAAAAAAAATTTCGGCAAAGCTTAAAGGATCTAACTCTTCATGTGGTCTCATTCCTTTACTTTGTTTCCTTCACGTCTTGTATAAAAAAATGAGAGGTATTATTAACCTTAGTCCAAGACTTCTCATATGATACTTCTTATTGTAGCCTTATAAACCACAAACATTGTATGTCATATTATTTTGAATTTAGATTGAGAAGGATCTTATTCTTATTATTGTTTTCTACCTGTTTTAGGAACATGCAAAGCTGGTAGTTTATTTGCGTTGGTGCGGTGGGGTATACACCTTTCAAACCACAATTGTCTTTTGATGGGATTTGTATTTTCAAAAAAGGATGAACCCCAATCTTGAAGATAATATGTACGCATGGAATGCTCGACAAGTCCCATTTTCTATGTGCTATACATCCTATTTAAATTGATACCAATATTTTAAGAATTTATTTTTTGTGTCCTACAAAATTATCTTATTAAAAGATAGTAATGTTAACTGAGTACCGCTTGGGAACGTGATTTGTTTAGTTGAACAAAGTAATGCTAATGCGCCATGTAGAATTTCATTTCGTCGTGTCAACATCTTTGACGGAATTTACTTCAATGATTGATGGATATCACTTTTAAAATTTAGTGATCATAGAAAAGCAAATTGAAGTTTCTAGCAACACAGACAAAAGTCAGTTAGCAATGAAATAATGTGTCTGTGTGTGCGCTTCTTGTAAAGTGAGTAATCAAATTCATAAATTGTGTGTGTGTGTGTGTGTTTTTTTTTTTTTTCGCATGTTGCATACATTAGTAGAACGAGTGAATATACGTCGCTATTTATAGAAGGAAAATGTCATTTTGTCCGAAAATGTTCGACACCCGGGTGATCGACACTCACAAAGTGCGCGGGCCCCATGTGACTTAAATAATGTCCGACCCCCGAAGTATGTGTGTTCGGTCATCCTCTATATCAATCATTATGTTTTCCTGACTCGATCCTTTATAGAAAATGAATAACTTTCGTAGGGTGAGATGTCCTCCCACTTCATGTAGTGTGATTATTTATTGAGTAATTATGTTACCATCACAAAATTTACTTATTACACCACAATTAAAACATATTTTTAATAAATATACCACAATAAATTTACAATTACATTCCTAATTTAATAAAAATAAAAGAGACGGATTCTAAGTTTTAATAAATACACCCCTACTAAACTTCATCTTTTTTTTCTTCCAGAAATTTTTTCCATATGTTTTTTTTTTTCCCTTTCCACTTCATTTTTTTAAAAATAAAAAATAAAAATGCAAACCTCTATATTCTATTTCACCATGTCTCAAACTTCTTCTTCGTCCACAATTTTCTATTGAAGATTCCAATATTCTATCTTTTTCTCTATAATATGTAGAGAAATGCTTTCTGCACAGGCTCTATTGCACAAAGCTTGTACAGGTACACACACATGGGGGGTCCACCTCCCATTTGAGATGTCTTGTACAGGCCCTATTGTAGGGCTTGTGCAGGAGGCATTTCTCTAATATGTGTCCTATGTTGTCCAAGTGGGGTCCACCCCCCATTTGAGATGGCCTGTACAGGCCTGTTGCAGGGTTGTGTAGGAGGCATTTATCTAATATGTATCCTATGTTGACTTGGACAGACACTTTTCTCTCTTTTCTTCTTTGATTTAGCCTTGTTTGGTTTCTATTACATCTCATCAAATTAAATTAAATTTTTTCTCTCTGTTTTTTTCAACCACACAATTTTCAATAAAATAATATTACACGTAAATCGAAAACTTTTCATTCTTTTACAATTATCCATTTAAAAAAAAAAAAAACTAAACTATTCCCCCATTATAATCAAAATTAATGAGGCCAAACGGGGGCTTAATGCTCACTGACTTATGAAATTTAACAATGTTTTTGCATTTTTCTTTTAATCTGTATTTTGTTATTGAGATTCATTATATCTGATTCGTTTTATACTCTTAATAATTTGGACTTTTAAGAATTTTTTTTCAAAGTTGGCCCGACAAATATTTTCCATTTTTCCTCACCAAAAATTTAGGGGGTGTTCTCTTTGTGTTTTAGTTTTGTGTTTTGAGTTTTGAATTCATTTTGAGTTTTGTGTTTTGAGTGTTTGTATTGAAATTATTGAAAATGCGTTCTTTTTGTTAGTTTCTCAAAACAAAAAAAAAATGATTTTTTTTTTTAATTTTGAGAATCACCACAACACCACCTAAAAAAAAAAAAAATTTAATTTTAATTTTTTTTTTTGAAATTTTGAAAATCACCAAACCCCCTCCTCAAAAAAAAAAAAAAAAAGTTGTTTCCCGCGTTTTCAATTTTTTCAAGTTTTACACTGAAAACGCCCAAAACGACAAAAAAGTCGTTTTGTGTTTTCTTCACAAATTTTTTTTCGTTTTCGAAAATTCGTTTTCAAAAACGGGAAAGAGAACACGTTTTCACCGTTTTGAAAAATCGAAAACAGAAAACGGCCCGAAAACAGTAAAGAGAACAGGGCCTTAACATCTTGGGGGTGACTTTTGTAAATTCAATTTCCTTTGAGCTATTACTGTTTTATACTGATTTGGATTCATTTTGAATTGATATAAACTGATTGTAAAACACAATCTTGCATTGGTTTTTGGGTGTCCTTCTAAATAACAAATGTCTTCCTTTTTCACCATAGAAATTGAAATTCTCGTGTGAAATTTTTGTAAATTCAATCTTCTTTGGACTATTGCTATTATTATTTACTGATTTGGGTTCAATTTTCCATTGGTCTTTTGGGGCTGTCTTGCAGTGAAGTTACTATTCTCCATGTTTACAGTAAGGAATTGCATTAGAAAAAAAAATTCTTAAAGAATGATTTGTTTAATTCTTTGCATATGAAGAATTCTCATAATGGATTGTTCACGAAGAATTATAAACCACTTGATGATTTGTCGGATGTGCAAAGAAAAATAGTTTCCTAATTATATAATTTTACTTAAGGTTATTTAATTAAATAAGAAAAATTTTAAAAATTGTGGTGCACTTAATAAATTTTGTGGTGGTAATATCATTACCCTTATTTATTAGTAGGGCATGTTGATTTACTTCTTATTGAGTATGCTCGTTTATCAACTGTTCCACATTTCTACTTCATTAATGCTTGCAGCCCCATTTGAAAGAAAAAAAGTATTTTTCTCCAAATTTATTTTGAGCTACACATTCTTCTAAAAAAATAATTTTCCACTTAAACTCGATTTTTTTTAACCATACATTTTTCAAAAAATTACTATTACAAAACGTATTTTTCCCTTAAAATGGAGTTCAAATAGCGAAATGTTATCTTGCCCGATAAAACATCTCTTTTTACAAAATAGAATTATAATAACATCAGAAAGCAATTCGTACAATTATATAATAACTATAGACCTTGTGACAACTTTTTTAATAAAAGCTTTAACAAACTTTAATAAAATTAAAGAAATGTGTCGTTGTAAAATTGCTAAAAGTTGTGAAATCTTATTAAATATGTGATTAAAATTAAAATTTGAATAGTCAAAAAGTTGATAAATTTTTATCAAACAAGAGAAACATGTTATGAACTAAAGATAGGCAGAA